CAAAAAAGACGCCCCTGCAACGGGCACTGGAACTAATCATTCAAAACCCAGGCGACCTTTTTAAGCGGGTGTCTCGTGTTGTTCAGCGTAGTTCTTCTCCGAAACTAGGCACCTCACACCATCCTTATAAATGGGCGTCGCTCTGACATGGAGCGGCCAGCGCGCACAACAAGGACGCTCCTTCATGTAATCGGCGTATAACTGTGACGTGACGCATGATTTGGGGCACAACATGGGATTCACTGAACGTGGCACTAATCTGATTGTTAGCAGACCGTGCGACGGAAATTCGGCGTCCTTCATAAATAGGCGCTTTCCGACGTAAAGTGGACAGCACGACACGAGAGCGTCATCTTTACCAACGCCGCGCCGCTGCGGTGTCAAGAGTAATTCCCTTCGAAAAATGGACGCACCTTCATGAATGTATGATTCGTGACCTGGTGCCGAGCCCATGATGGAAAATGAACTCTTTTTAGCTTCCAGAGTGCGCCCGTCTGTGAACCTGAGTGGTTAGCTGGACTGAACGTAGCAATATTTAACAAATGACGGCTGTCAAAACCTGGCCAAGGAAAATGAAGGTTTGTAAATGGCTGTCCCGTGATAAAGTGAGACGCTTTTAGTATCATTGTCACCTATAGACATTTTTTATCCAAATTTTTCGCCCGATTAATGCAGGTTTCTCTTCGGTTGTCCGCTTGTTAACATAAACCGCAACGTCATGCCACCATTGAGCCTGACTCCTTACATCATGTTTCGACGTGGCATTCTGGCAATCTACTGCATAGCGTGGCATGCGTCACCACGCCGTCACTGGGACTTAGCGACACACTCAGCTGCTGAGGCTATGTGGCGTCACCTTCCTCTCACCCTGGCAGAAAGGGCGGATACCGCGGGGAATCGATCTCCGTACCTGTGGTTTGCCAGACGCAGTGGCTAACGCAGACGCGTTAACCATAACACTATCGAAGCCCTGCGTGCGTGACCGTCCAATGCGACTGTCGAGAACAGGAGCAGCCGGCTCACTGCAGATGCTTCCCAAATAGGTGCACGGCTGCTCGCCTCCAGGTAGTTTCAAAGCACTTAATACAGCTGTGTGACCCTTCATGTAATGAATCGGACCGCAGTCGCCAACATGTCTGTTGGGACGGCCACGCGAAACTCCGGTCCGCCCGCTGAATTGCCCAGTCAGCGCCGGTACAGGCGCCATCTCGCATTTTTGTAAAGCTCTCAGTGACTCAGTTGCAGGTCGCCATACGGCGTCGCACTTGGCCGCGATCCCGCTACTACGCTGACGTACTATACACTTTTGTGCGGTGACTAACACGTCGAACGTGCGCCGAGTGTTTTGGGTTCACTTAGCGTTAGCTACCTGCACAACCAAATGCATTTTGTATAGTATTGTTCATACGAATAGTAGATGCCGCTTATTGGATAAGCAGCATGGTGATGTATTCAAGGAAAATAGAAATAAACTTGTACGCATCACAGAATAAATATGTCTAGAACAACGTTTGATGGTGCAACAACAACTGATTGTGCATCTGTGTTGCAAACACACAATTTAGAATAACTTTTATTTTGAAAGTCTGCCATTGGCCGCAACTTTGTCAGCGACCCGCGCCAAAAGCCCGCCGGCTTTTTAGGCCCGTATGTTGCGCGCCTGTCGCCGGCAGCTCTAATTCGTAACTTGACAACACGAGTCTGGCAACGGTAATGGACAGAAAGCGATATAACCCAACTTCAGCACATCAAAGTAGACGTTACAGCCTTGAACATCAGCTAACCGCATGGACCGTTTGGAGGAGAAGGTGTTGACCCGCCTTTGGCTTGAACACACAAATTTCGTTTAGTTATGTATAGTTGCAACAGTCTCATCGCTCTGTCAGACATGTGGTCGTCCTCTTACAGTCGAACATGTTATTCTTGAATGTGGTGAATACCAAGAGCTAGATATTCTGCGGACCTATTGCCACCGACATGACTTGGAATCTTCTTTGAAAAACCTTTTAGGTAATAATCATCCGCATCTGCTTGATATTTTGTTTTCGTTTCTTTTGAACGTACAAACATGCTTCCAGTGATATGAATAATCGTATGCAATGCCTATTTTAGTTTTCCTCGGCGTGAAATGGTCTGAATGGGCCGAAGCGCCTTAAACCGAAAACAAAGACAAAAGGCAACGTCGTGTCAATATACCCTACCCTGTCATGCTCTTTCCTGCCTTATCCTGAGCCCTGGCGACGCCCCGCTTGTCCGCGGTAGGCTGCGTTCTCTAGCCACGAGAGGGTCGAGGGCTTCCTGGAGGACAACCCTGGCCGGGCGCCCGGCGCACACTCCGCAGCGGGGTCCCTGCGCGTGCGAAGGCTCTTTGGTTGCCCCCTCCGGCAGTCGCATGTGGTCCTGCTTCACCGTTATCTAATCTTCTTCATTCCATAGCTCCGAAATTGTTATTACTGGTTGGAAGGGCTCTCTAACCCAAATAATTCATCATGTTAAAATCTTGCACAGCTTCCACAACGTTGCCTGGGAACCAATTGATGACCGTTTTATCTGGAAATCGGGTTCACGAGCGCCAGATATGAACGACTGGACAATTATGCTTTAATTGACCTTGAACGTCGCATGGCCAATAGAATGGAAGGATTTGAATGACGCTATTATGATGGGTGCATGGGTAACCTTGAAATAGTCAGTACGAAAAAGGCTGCACGTCTCCGCGGGCGTGCAGCTCAGAAACTGCAGGGCTTTAGGTCTTAAGCAGGTCAGGGCTGTGAACTGTACCGAATGATCTTTAAGGTAGCTATGCCAGTTCAACATCCAAAACAAATGTGTGACACTTCCTTTAAGTAAGGTGTAATTTGAATGCATTTTCGGTCACAGGCCTAGCTAAAAGATTTGAAAAGTACAAAGATAAAACGGACGCTCGGATATCAGCCACTGTTGAACACGTTTTTCCTCTAAGCGCACGTTATAAAATGTCACACATTGCCCACACTTAGAAAAAAACAAATTACAAGAAATCACAAGCGATAAAATACGCTAGTTTTGCAGAGATGAGTGCTGCAAGAGATGTGCTGCAAGAGTTTGCAGAGATGAGTGGCGCAAGAGTGTGCTGCAAGAGTTTGCAGAGATGAGTGCTTCATATTAAACAAGGGACTTCAGTTCGCGTATGTCAATTGGTTCCCATATTTTGCCGTAGGGATGGTCTGTTCTAAGTCATAACAGCCCAAAGGATCTATCACGCCACATATACATAATATTGAATATGACATTTCTCAAGGAAAGCCAGCCACCTGTCTTTAAAAAAACAGGGCCTGCGTGCCAGCTGACGTGATTACACATTTCATTATCACAATCATGCCGCAATGCGCATTGTCTAACATTCGGAGATAATCCGCTGTTCCATCCAACTATCTTACGTTAGAACAAAATATACCACCGACCTATCATTTCCTGACATGCCAGACAGCCAGGCAGCTGCTGTTAATAATATTAACCAGCTCTTACTAGGGATGGACAAAGCTTTATTCGCGCGTAATGGCGTCCCGTTACCTACAAGAGTCCCGGGATGTCTAAAGCGACCTTGGGAATCATTTGCTCTTCGGGTCGATGCTCCAGCATCTGTCTCTGAAGAGCAAAATTTTTTGCCGAATGGACTGTGTCGAACATCATTTACAAATGTTCCCTAGCTTTTAATAGCTGGCATATGGTTCGAGCAATTTTTGAAATTGCAGCACCTTCGTTGTGCTCCTGTACAGCAGATTTTCGATTGGGCTTCAATAATGGCTGATAACATTTCTCTCTATTCAAAATTAGGGTAAATCGTCTTGGTTTACTTGATGCAACGCGTGATTTGGACTGTTTTAGGAATGTGACTTAAATTAGATTTATGATTCGGCCTGCAGCAATTATTTACAATCAGAAGCTATATAATTCACATGGAGTTTAACCGAGCGAAAGTGTGCTTGGAAACGTCCGTCCAGTTCGGAGCCATTTTGACCGGACTTGGGCGCAAGGAAGCATCAGCAAATTTAACGTCACGCAGTGGTAATATAGTGCGCAGGAGTTCTCAGAGTAGCGGATCCACAATGTGACGTTCACAATATTTTTTGTCTTTCCCCGTTCTTTTTAAAAGTGCTCAGCCCCTCTTGGAGGCTCGAATTCGCCACTCAAAGTAACGCCTTTAGATCCGTCAGCATGAGAGTGCGTTTACTTTGATGCATGTCTGCGAACTATGAACACTGCGGTCTTGTTGTTATTGCATTACGAAAGAACAAATATGATTATGAACAATCTTAAAGGGTAACCCGTCTGCAGTGTGGTAGTCTCACCTGGGCTACGTTTTTGGTTACTGGGTGAGTTGTAGCAGTACCGTCTATCCCGGGTCGGTTTCGGCAGCAGCCAGCACAGATCAAATCCAATGCAAATCCGGCGGGGGGACGAGCATTAAGAGCCGACTGCTAACCCTTGCGGTTTGCGTGTAACACGGCCGAAGTCCTATCCGTGCGCGCCACAGCCGGCGCTCCATGCCAGTGGCTCCATCCCGCCAGTAGATCATTGACACGGCCGCCTCAGAAAAGCAAAACCAGTCGACAAACGTGACCGGCCGACCCGCTGCGGCGGCAGCTGAGCGGACGTCTCCCCCGAACGACTCCCCGGAGGGCTGCCGGACACGTCATCAGGACCGCCCGGGGGACGGGTGGCGGGGCGACCACGCACGCCGCGCTCGCTGCAGAGGGCCGGTTAATCAGGGGCCGATTTCGTGCGGCTCCCGCCGCGCCCGTCCCGCGGCGGCCATCGATTCGGCGACGCCGCCGCCGCCGCGCTGCCGGCGACCAGTCTCGCCGCCGCCGCCGCCGGGTGTCGCCGCCGCCGTCGACGCAGCGGCCGCCGTCATCGGCGGACGGGTCCTTTGCGCCGCGAACGGGCGCCGAGGCGGCGGTGCTCGGCGCGCGGGTGCGACTCGCCGCCTGACCCGCGCGCTTCCCGGGAAGTCGGCCGGCGCCTGCGACCGCCGCTCGCTCGGCCGCCAGCTGCGGTGTCGTGACTGTGACCGAGGACGTGACGGTGACCGCGACCGTGACCGTGACCCGAGCGCGTCTCCAGGGTTCCGGCTGTATGCGTGTGCGCGCGTGTGGAGGTGGTGAGGCCGATGGCCAGGACTAGCACGTCCCAGCCACAAATGGGGCTCTTGCGAGGCCTGTACCGCCTGCTGGTGACTCTGATGCTGGTTCACGACGGTGAGTAATGACCTCGCGCGGGGCCGGCCACCGGCAGCCAGCGACAACCATGTTCGGATGACCCGAGGCTTCTCTAGAAAGCTAGAATTGTCACCAGGTTTGCACGACGCTGTCAACAAGTCGCTAATGCATTCGGAATGTACTGCATCGGCAACAGTCAGTTGTCATAACAATGGATAAACTGAACGCTAGTTTTGGATGTGCCGAAACAAACCTAACGTTGTTGAAATCTGCATCAAAGATAAGTGCTACAACACACGATCCGTTTTTAATATGATTTCTGAACTTGAGCAAGCAGAAGGTTGAGGATATGCGTGGTGTCCACAACTTTCTCAATCATCAGCAATGCGTGCTCATTTTTACCAGGTGTGAATTGTATGTTTGCTGTCGTGGTCCTGGTTATTCACTAACTTTTTTGACTACTTTTAGCAGTATTACGGCAGTGTGTTTCAGGCTTTCTTTCATTTGAGTAGTTCAAGAAATGATTTCGTGACGTTTAATAAGTTTAAGATTATACTGCAAATTATAAGTGTGTAAAATACTATCACGAGTACGCAAATGATTGCCAGTGCGGCAGCCACGCATCAGACCACCGAGAGTTTTGATGCTGAGATGCCGATGTCGCCCGGACTCTCCGCACAAGCCGATAGCTGCTGGCAGTGGAAACAGCAGAACTTTGGCAGTCGCAAAATCGCCGCAGCTGGTAGCAGAATACCGGCGATAGGTGCCGGAAATCTCGCTCGGAGAACACTATGTCAAAGATCGACTTGCCGCCGGGGACAGGAGTTGGATCTGACCCGGCAACTTCAGTCTCTACATGTTCTCCGCACATCACGCTTGTTTGATAAATCCAAACTAAAACATCCCGCGCCTTTTTTAAAAGCTTTTCCATTAACGTCGCTCTTGAATCTTCGTATTTTATGTACATGTGTATCTCATCTCAGCACGTTAGAGTAGCTGGAAGGAGGGTGACGTAGCTTACGTCTGTCAAGAATATCGTTTCTCTGTTAATCACGGTTTTCCTGACTTTCCGCGGACGCCAGCATTGTCCAACGACCGGAGTTCTTTTCAATTTTCCCAGTCAAAACGTTATTAAATCGCATTCGGTGTTATGCACACAACCACGTAAAATGGGCTATTAACTCTAAGACACGTCTTCATGTCTACAGTTAAGTTTATTTTATGTTTGCATATCTGAAATCGTCCCAAACATGAACAATACAGAATGCATCGTGCCATAGATGTATCTGACCTCAATGTTCTCCTATTTTGAATGTCGAAAAAGGACCTAGAATATCCTAAGAGAAATGCCGATGGCTGCGAGACTGGAGCGATGCTGATGAGGAGTGATATGACATTTCTCGCAATGAGAGAGGGGGGGGGGGGGGTTGATGAGACCCTCTAAGGTTTTTTATGGTACCTCTTTGGAATATTGAGCGATGGCGTCCACATTTTAAGTAGGCAATGGGGCACTCATTTCGCGTGTTTTGTTTCCAATAACGTGTTCCTAGCTTTCTGGTTTCGGAGCAGCGGCGGTTTTTAGGAACCTTGCATGGCGATCTACGGCCGGCGCGGGCGGCGGGCGGCAGCCGATGATGCCGCAGAGCGTGCGCGACGGGCCGACATTGTTACATTAACGGAGCCCTACATCACAAATGATCAAACACAAAAATATGCATCATTATACTCAGAATTTTATAACGAACATGCCCTTCTCAGATTCAGTGTCACCACGAGGCACAGTCTCGTACTATGATGCTGTGAAGCTGAAAAAGTGCGATTTTCATAATGTTGATATTCATCTTGGAATAATGGGGTCAATTATCGACCTTACTCCTTAAAAGCTAGTACTAATCGCGAGGCCTCATTGAGACCAATCCATTGGTGCTTTTTCTCAGCTCTATCTGTACTAGTTAAGAAACGCCAGGGGAGGTCGCATCGACCCCCAACCATCAGTCCGCGTTACGAAATACGGCGAATCGGGTCGAGGTTAAAAAAATGCCTATAAATAATCCCGCCGTTGAGGGCTCAACATTACTCGGTAGCCAACAAATGAAATATCACTCCCTTTGGCACGTACATTTAGCTGGAGCAGCGCGATGTGACAGAAAAGCTATGCGTACCTAGCTATTTAGCGATGTTCTGCTTTCGTTCTAAAATGCATCGTTGATTTGAGCAAGTCAAATGGGTAAATAATAAAGGCATTTCAGATTCGCGCTTCTGGCTTATATTAGATGGGGACATAACTTGGGCACCGGTAGCTGATCAGAGCTATTTTATCGACCAGGGAGATAACTGTAATGACGTCAACAGCACCGCTTTGCTTAGAAAACTCACGAAAATATACTTTACTCAATCAGACGCACTTTCTTAAAATGTCCGGGGTCGCATGAGCTGGAGACCGAAAATATTTACTGCCTTTGAAGAGATTCGCCTTCCAAAAGGCTTCCGACTATATTTTGCTAGAACTAGCAGAACATTGGGATTTCAAGAGGCAGCATTTGCTCCAACGAATCATGATTATTAGAAAGTTGTCACGTTTGCGCTTTGTAAGGGGTCGCAACACCATGGACTAAAACCCCATGATAATGAAAGTGCTGCTGCCACGTATTTGCATTTCATAGTGCTCAGGCAGAGATGAAGTCTTTAGGATTATCGAAGGAGGATAAACGATTTTCCCGTAATAGAAAAGATCCCAACTGAATGGTCAAGAATACGAGATAGATTGAGAGGATAGGTATGCCTAGCCTTTTGCAGCCATTTAAGTCATGTAAGTCATGTAAGTCATGTGAGTCGTCTCAGTAAGTGACTTTTAGCACTTTTAAGTGACTTCCTGTCGGTGGAAGTGTTTGACGCCACTTCCCTGCCTGTATTTTGTCCTCTCAGTTATAAAAACTTTCTTCATGCATGACACTGTTTCTGTAAGATTTTCTGTCATCTGCCTGCGTTAGGTCATGCATCTCATGCAATGCCTGCCCAGTACCTGAATGTGTCTGTGTGAAGGCTATTTCTGGCAGCGTATGTTCTGCAAGGTACGACGTTTCCCCTGAGATCGCTTTCTCGCTGAAGGCCTGGTCTGCCATGGTTAGCTTACCTGCGACAAGCGGCACCATCTGCGCTGGCAAAGGGCATCGGCATCAGGCTCTCTTCCGCCGGACATGACCTTTGACAGGTCGTTTCTCCCTGGTGCCGACTCGCCAAGGTCAGGTGATCCGCAGCAGGTGCGCGTGCCAACGATCTGTCGTGCAAATACAGAGTAGCGCCACTACCCGCCATTACGCTGCCTCGTTAATCACACCCGCCCGGGGGAGGCGTGGTGCCGCTGGGGGGGGGGGGGGGGGAGAGGGGTAAAGGAGCGCGCTGTCGGCGGTCGTTCGGACGGACCGTTCAGGTGCCAGGCGCCGCGCGCCCCGCCGCCACCCTTCGGCGACCAGAGCCGACCAATGACGCCAATTACAGCCGGCAGTGGTCATTTCCGATTGTACCGAATGTTGGGCCAGCTGGTCGGGTGGCTCCAGGTCCGCTACCCTGTTCGCCTAATACACGCAATGAGGAAGGGTTCTTTGCGGGGCGATAACGGGGCAGCAGGTTTAATGTAGTCGCGAGCAAAGCCGGTGGTAAAACGATAGCATTTATGCAGATGGATGGCTTTATGGCCTGGGTTGTACACAGGGGAGACGGCGAAGCAGGAAAATATAGACACTGGTGCTGGGGAAAACCTGAAAAACAATATCGTAAAACAACGTAGTTGTGGCCTCGAAAGGCGGCTAATTAGCTGACAACTGGAAGACATATTGGACTGTGGCACGTGAAGCTCGTAAATGCTAACTAAGTCCAGGCCTGATCGACCTGAAAAGAAGTCGTCGTTTCTGCAAACACGGCCATGCTCGCGCCGTAGAATACGAGCGTAGTGCGTCGTTGGCACTGATAACAGAGGGCCCGAATGCGCAGGTCTTTCTTCGGCTCGACTGCAGGGCGAGCTGACGCGTCGGGTCAGACGCCGGAGCAGCGCGGCCCAGCCGAGATAGGCTGACCTTTCGCGGCGACGGCGAGTCACAGGCCTCGCACGGCTCGTGTCGCCGCCAATTGGCCTTTTGTAATGGTGAGAGGCGTGACGGAGAATGGCGCGGTCGAAGCGTTTCATATGCGGAACAATTCGCGCGATAAGGTAGCGCCGAGAGGCCATCAAGAGCCGAGCATGTTCGGTCGTTAGTGACTTCCGGTATTTGTACAATGTGTGACCATTTATGCAGCCGTTAGAACAATGAGTTCATCATGTTTTAAATTATAAGTATATTCACGGCAGCTTGGCATAATATTTTCAGCGCTACGCATGTACGCGCGATTCGTAAATGTTGCGTAGTAAAATGAGATAATCCAATAATTAAACACTGACTGTTTGCTTTTGTCATAAAGGTGTACAACAGCTAAGAAATTGTAACTGCACATATACATATAATCAATATGTATATATATATATATATATATTGGAATATTTTGGCAGAATTCTTTCTTTGATACACGTTTGATTAAAAATAACACATCCGACACATGCGACAGGAATACGTAATATATATAAATGCGACACATGGACCACATGCGACAGGAACACGACATGACATTGACACGACAGCAACTGACAGACAGCACTGACATTTTACGGACGTGCAGTGACAGACAAATTGCCTGTGTCATTCATGCCTTCAAATTTGGGAAAGCATATTCATTAACGAACTCTCTCCGGCCTTAAACAGACAGACAAATTCTTGCAGAACTCTTGAGCTACTAGGTGGTGGGCGGTGAGCACTTATGATGTGATTGTGACAATAGTGTTCCCATTGTGTCTTTGTGAAGTTCCCATTATAAGTGTTTCTTACATGTATGAAGATGAAAATAGCAATCCGTCTTACTTCAATTAGTTATGCTTCATTTATGTTCTCCGTACCAAAAGATGTTTTCCAACAGAAGTGCACAATTTTTCATCCTTTAAAACTCAAAAC